ACTGTCTTGCATTTACAGCACTGAGACAAGGTAGAACTCTTGCGATCCAGCAAAGAGTGTGTCCTGCAAAGAGGGGACCAAAAGCACTGACCAGGTGGGAATGTGGTGCCTCTTACAGAAGATGAGGCCTTAAGGTAACACCTGCAGACAGGCTGATATCCATCTTGGAATGCCAGAGAGACCATGTCTTCACAAATATCATCCTGGGGAGAAACCACACTCCTTTTCAAAGAATCACAGACTGGTTTGGCTTGGAAGGGACTTTAAAGCTCATCTCGTTCCACACCCCTGCCATGGGCAGGGACACCTTCCACTGGACCAGGCTGCTCCAAGCCCCATCCAACCTGGCCTTGGACACTTGCAGGGCTGGGGCAGCCACAGCTTCTCCAGGCAACCTGTGCCAGGGCCTCCCCACCCTCACAGGGAAGGATTTTTTCGTTATATCAATCTAAACCTACTCTCCTTCAGTTTGAAGCCATTCTCCCTCCTCCTGTCACTCCAAGCTCTTGTAAATAGTCTCCCTCCATGTTTCTTGTCAGTTCCCCTCATGTCCTGAATTTCTTGATGGGTACTGAATTAATTTCTTGATGGGTTTGAAATAGTTTCCTAGGACCTACCAGCAGGAAGAAAAACAAAAGAAGGTCTTCTAAAACCTAAGCTTCCCCACTTTTGTTTGGGTGAATCTTATAAGATACTTTGTGATTTACTGAGATTACCTGCATGGTGACAACAAGCACCAGAAGAGATTCCCTGGGCTAAAAAAAAAAAAAAAAAATAAAAATCAACCTGTGGTAAATGAAAGAAAGATATAAACACAGAGGCTGGAGGAGAGAGCTGCTGTGGGAGAATGAACTGATCTCACATCTCATAATGCACAGGGTTGAAAGCATAAAACAAAAGAAGGTGGATTTTCTTGAGTTGTGATTATTTTCAGAGCCAGTAAACTTGATAGGACCGGATTTAAAGTATCTGAACAAATTTATGTTTATTTATATACAATATATATTTGATGGAGAATAGAAAGACCGGTTAATTCCATGTTTTCAAAGGCATCTTGGGCCTTGGTTAAGCAAACTGCAAGACTAACAGATTTTTTTAATGATTTTTCCCCAGAAGAAACTATAACTGGGAATTTGATCCAAAAATAACCCAGGAAGACAAAACAAACAGAGAGTGAAGGAACTGCATTTTGTCTAAATTATAAGTGCAGAGGTAAACCCCAGCAGCAGTCGGTGCATTTCCTGACACCAAAGGTTTCTCAGTCCCCATCATCTGCTGCATGGGATTTTTCTCTGACCTTGACTTAGCGAGGTGTGTGACACCTATTACCAAGTTTTTCCTTGCAAATGATCTCTGATAAGAAACCTGAAACGGTGATGGGAAACTGAATGACACAAACAAGGGGTGACATTTAAAAATCGGGCTTGGATTTTTATTTTTTTTTTTCAGTTCCACTGAAGGGCCTCTGCTGCAAGATTGTCTCTTTTCCCAAGGACACGGGGATAGAGCACCCTGGCAGAGCCACCCCTTATAAACCGATGCCTCATGGATTTCCTGGACCTTCTGCATTTTGGAGCTTCCTCACAGGAAGAGCTGGAGGAATGTTTTTACTTCTAAACGTATTCTTATTTATCCTGCCTTCTGCATTAAGACTGATATCAGAGTTGGAGAGCAAAAATATCTGAAGTGATCAGAATAAAGATGGATCAAATTCTTCTAGAGTGATTTGAGAGCATCTTATCTGGTCTACACATAATGTGTAAAAGCAGGCACAGACTGTGAGTAACACTGGCATCAGAGGGGATGGGCAGTGATTTAACACGATGCCTGGCCAAGGGAAAGGAGTATTCCAGGAAACTTGCTCCCAAAAACAGGGAATAGCATGACTATTTCAGAGAATGGATGTGGAATGGGATTCAAGCACCGTTTTCTGAGTGTTTCACTATTATCAGAAAGAGCTTTTTGCCAACAAGTGAAATGAGGGTATTTTGACACAGATTTTGTTCTTTGCCATGACATGTTCTTTGCCAAACAGATTTACTTTTTTTTTTTACTTCTAACAATGTTCAATGGCCTGAAAATGGTTAAATAATGATAATAAAATCTGTATTTAAAATGTAATTCAGTTCTGTAATTATATTTCTTATGCATGGAGACAGAAATAAACTAGAGGAAGAACCTATTAGCCCTTTTGCATGTATAATTGAACATGTTTGATATTACTTGGTAACCTTTGTAAGCAACTGGCTTTGAGTTTATGCAAAGAGGTGAACACCTTGAATACATAAATAACAATCAGAGCAGATAGGTTTTTGATTTTGTATTCTGTTCTTTTCTTGTTTGTGTCTGTTAGATGCAGTCAGACATCCCTGGCTTTATCTGGCTATCCATAGAAACATCTGAGAGATCTGACTTTTGCATCATTTGGGTGCAGTAATGAATAAGAACTGACATCAAATATCAATATTATTGGCCCAGCTAAATGGTAGCTGACATCCAACCGGACTGCTGAAGACGTAAACAAAATTGAAATTTTGTTTTTGTTTAAAAACTGTCTGACATTATTTGCCCTTCAGTAAATCAATGGAAGGATGACCTAAATGCTGTTTGCATTTTGGCTTGGGGAGGTAAAATTGGGCCGTTGCTATCAAGCATCTTTTTTTACAGTCTTCTAGGTTTTCCTAAGATGACCTGCAATTTCAAAAATACCTCTTTTGTTTTAAAGAACCTATAATGGTTCCTAAACCTGCAGACATCACACGAACACAGCACGGCAGACACAAACATAGGTGAATGATAATTATACTCTTATTGGAGACATGGGAGTAAAAGGTGTTTATTAACTTTTAAGTGATTTTAGCAACATTACCTTTTGGGAGGAAAGATGCATTTTTCTAGGGCCTGAATTCAAAAACTTCATGGGTTTTGCTCACATTTTCTCAAGAGTTCCACAGGCCGAGGACCAACCTTGGAAACTGCCTAATTTTTACGGTGCTGAAAGTGTTATTTGCCAAGTCCTGACATAACAACAACTGCAGAAGTTTTCCTCAGGGCAATATGGCTCTGGAGAGTCCACGTCCCAGCAGGACAGGCTCCAACAAACGTTTCAGGTGCCAAGCTGGCAGTTGTGTTCCATGGAGAAAGGCCTAATTAGGGAATCTCAGCGCTAATAAGAGTTCTGGCTGCAAATGTTGCCCACTTAACAAAAAATTATTAACTACAGTTCCATAAGCATGGTACAGTAAATAACTCAGATTTAATCAGTTTCACAGAGTTTAATGAGGATTTATTCAGTTTGTGTAAATGCATTATTCCTTTTTAGCTTCTTCCTTGCACAATGCTCTTTCCCTAAAATATCCCTTAATATTTGGACACACTGCCTGGATGGCTTTCTGATCTAACTGGAAAATTTGTTCCTTGTTCTTGTGTAATTGGAATTTCATGTTCTTTCAGAACTGCTTTTGGCACCAAGCAGCCCGAGACACGATTACCACAAGCCCACTGAAGTGACTGAGGAGCCTTCTTAAACTGACCTTTATCCCTGCAGGAATAGGAGTGAATCCCTTGGGATCTTTCACCATTACAGCTCTGCACCCACAGAGGCCAAGCCTATGGGCAAGATTTCTGACAAAGCATGGGATCTGCAGATCTGTGGTGTTAGGATATTTAAAAAAAAAAACAAACAAAAAACAACTGTTACTTGCACAACTCAGGACCACTACTTAATTTTTCAGTGGTTTCACAGTACATGCAGTTAACTTACATAACTGCAATCACAACTTCTGAAATTATATTCCTCACTCGGTCGGATCAAAGCTGATCAAATGTTTCCATTTTTACTAATTCCACCATTGAGAATGTCAACCAATTATTTTAGCCTAGAGTTTAACGCCAGCTGTAATAATATTCTTTACCAAGATCACATGCTTATCTGGGAGATTATCAGCACTCAGGCTTTCAGCTTCCTCTTAATCATTACAGTCACATGAGAGCGTGAGGCCCTTTGTAAATTAATACTCACAATAAAGGCAGTGCTACACTATCACTGGAGTATTTCCCTCACAATTCTTGCTACTGCTCTACACCACAGCGTTCCAAAACACCGAGAGGCAGGTTGTGCCTGTCAAATAGAGATATATGCACGTGGCCAAGAAAGAATTAAGATGCCTTGGGAATTCCTATTCCCTCCTTGACATCAGCTTATCCAGCACCTTCTGCTCTGCCAGCCCCTGGGGTTTGCCCTCTAAACACACAGGGTTAGCAAAGCAGTTGGGAAAGCAGCAGCTGATACTGAACAAGAGGAGAATATTCAGGATCTCCTACAGGAAAAAACAGTACCTTGCTCTGCTTGTAATGAAAGTGTCAGTGGGAGCACAGAGAGCAGGAACACCATTAAAATATTTTTCAGGAGAGATGGGCTCTGAGAGGAAAAAGGCTGAGAGTGGTAGCAGAAAGCAGCACATGCCTCACCACTTCTGCACCAGTTTTAAAGAGCAGTGTGGCCCAGAGAGCCAGAGGAATCGTACATCACAAATGTTATGATCATTTCAGAAAATTTCATATCACCTCAAAGAAGCATTTGGGAGAAATTCCTTCCCTTCCACGGTTAACGGGCATTCAGATCGCAGTGTGTCACCCATCCCAACCAAAATGGTTCTTCTTAGACAACAAATTAACCATCCAGGAAAAAAAAAACTAACAGCAAATTTCATTAAAGAAAGTAATTAAATGACCATGACAAGGGCGAATGGCTTAGACACCACACCCTGATCCAAGGAGAAAGGAAACAGGAGCAAGGAGGGGGCAGCTTCCTTTGTACCAGCCCCTGGGTCTGGTCTGCCTGGCAGGTGTGTGCCAGTGAACCACCCTAGAAATCATGACTAATACTGAATTCAGCCACAGAGGCATCTGCTTCACCAAGAGCATCACAGCACGTACCAGAGCAAGGAACAGGATGATTAAAGAATAAAAGAAAAAGGAAACTGGTGCTCAGAACTTACCTTGGTGTTGAATGTAGCATGGTTGCAGGGGTGCAGGTGACCATGGAATGTGTAAACACGGAGACCCTGGGAATGAAACAAAAAGAGAGCATTTAGATAAGTTACAGTGATATAAATTATTCTATACCCTCACTGTAAACAGAAAGACCTTAATTTTATGGCTGCGTGCAAATCAAGACACGTCGTGTGCTAAAAAAAAACCAGCTCCTGGTTGCTGGAAGAGGAACACATTTCTCACAATTACTAAGGATATATCTCCTTACTTCACACAATAGCCAGCAGAAAAGGTGCCTTCAAATATCACGAAAGAAAAGCCTCCCTTGCTGGAGGGTTTGAATTAGAAGGTGTAATCGCTCCTTCCAAAAGACTGAGCTCTTGCTCTCAGGCAATGCCTCTTGATATTCCACACACACACCACTAAAGTCTTCCTCGAGGAATTACAGGCACAAAATCAAAATTAATTATCTTTTGTCATCTTCCACATTAGGCCATAAGTGACCTACATAGTGCAGTAACATATGTCAGGTGTCATCCCTGATCTCTGGCTTGTTCTCCCAATAGAGGAGCCATCCAACCACAGTTATCTCCTGCTGTAAATCCTGAAGTCTTCAAGATGAGAAGACAGGGGGAGTAAAAAGAGATGCCTTTCTCTGTTTTCACAGAATTCATTGGCTTCATGGGTAACAGAACAAAATCTTTCCTATTAAAAGTGAAACCCAGCTTTGAACAGTGTAATCATATGCTGAAGAACAAGTTTTCGCTGTAAGAAAACATTTGACTGACACTGGAATTGAAAGGCAATTTGTTGTATTTTTCTGGAGAGATAAAAAAAAAAAACACAAACCCAAGATCTGAAATTCCACCACTCGTCCTACTAGTACTTCCTTGCACTTATTCCAGCTTGAATCAATCTCTGAGGAGCGGGGGAAACAAGTTAATCAGACCTGTGTCTTGCTTTTAGAGTTCAAATCATCAGCTTAATTCCATTTTTATTTTCCCAGTCAAAAAAAACCTGAAATCACTCCTGCTCTAAGACATTTGAATTCTCCTTTTCACTGACAAAACCCCCTACATTTTATCATCAGCACGTTTAGCAGCAGATTCTCACAGTTTGCAACAATCCCTTTCAGAAGGCAGTTAATGAGGTTTGACCACAAAGTAATTCAGGAGGGACACTCCTGGATAAGGCTCTGTGGTTCATATTACATCTCTGCACCACTCAGGAGAACAGTCCAACAAAACAGCAGTTAAAGGGGATTAGATTGCTGCTGTAAATATCTCAGGGGTTAAGAGCAAAGAGGGAAAAGAGCTATTGAGGCTGAAGAGCAGTGTTGACGCAGGAACATATGGGGATTCATTATCTGCAGATAAATTTCAGTTGGAAATTAGAAGACAGTTCTCAAACACTGAGATAGAAAAACTTATTTCACTCCAAGTACTGGGGATAAAAACACTGTAAGAAGCTGCTTGAAAAGCCTGGAAATAAATGACTTTCTCCTGTATGCGATCTTTTGCCTGAACTTGCAGACCAAGGAGGCCCTTTCCAATTTTGTTCCTGTGGCATTAGAATACAAATCTCTCACGAAGCCCAGCATTTAATGCTTCACAGAATTTCTTCTGTTTAAAAAATGTCACCAAAATAAGGCAGCAGGCTACCTTGGCAAGCACCAATTTGTACTTTATTGTATTTTTAATTTACCTTTCTGTGTTGAAGTAGTTTCTCCTCTAAGGCCGCAGATGCTACCACAGTCAAAGCAGGAAATTAGAATTAAACCCATGGAAGGATTGCAAGGCAACAGGAGGACAAGGCTGTGGACTGTTAAAAGCACTGTATTTAAGGAGCAAGCACACCATCCAATTTCAGCATAAAAAGGTTGCCACAGCACAGTTCTTGAGCCCTCCACAGCTGTCAACAGAGTTACAAGGGGAAGGAGTTCTAAAAATCCCTCATTCAAAGACTTTGTATATTTGCAAGTTAGAGATAGGTTGGATCTCAGGGAAAGGTTCTTCCCCCAGAGGGTGGTGGGCACTGAACAGGCTCCCCAGGCAGTGGGCATGGCCCCAAGGCTGCCAGAGCTCCAGGAGATTTTGGACAATGTTCTCAGGGACAGGGTGGGATTGTTGAGGGGTCCTGGGCAGGGCCAGGAGCTGAACTTGATCCTTGTGGCTCCCTTCCAACTGAGGATATTCTGTGATTTCTAAGTAATAAAACATGAGCCAATAAATGCTGATAAAAAGAAAACTTAGATAATTATTATCCAATTAAAAATTCACCCCTGGAATAGAAACATGATTACACAAAATTCCCCAAGACTGACAGACAAATGAAATGTGATAAAGCTAACAGGATAGGAGACAAAGATAACCAAGTGCATATAGGCAGTCTAGCAAGAAAAAATGTCAAGGACACAACATCTACCTTGTGGCCCAGCAGCAATATCGATTGTCCCCAGCCCATGGTAACAAACCAAGTGTCGGTGCATGCTTTGCATGGCAAAAGTAGCCCTTGTAAAATAACTGCTGCTGCTCAGCAGGGTGTAGTATTTACCCTCAGACACTCTCAAATACCAATATACACACAGTAACCTTTCCCCAAATACAGAAAAAGCATGCTGTCACAAACCAATAAAAAAGGAAACCGCATGAATGCTGTGCCAGAGAATGAATGTTAACTTTCTGATTTCCCTTCTGGAAGTCAATTCAGTAGAAACCCTCTGAAAAGGATTTTAATAAAAGTAATAATAATGATAATAAAAGCGAGACAAAGGCAATGGTTCTGTAAAGTGTTTCTCAATACTATCGCTGAAACTTAATTTCCAAAGTGCCACTTTATTTTTATTCAATCTGCAGCTCGTGTTTTCTTTATCAGCACCAGGAAATCTGAGCTTGGCAGACATACATGCCATAAAAACAAAACTGGAAAGCTTACTATTTAGCTGTAATGTCCCAGAAGAAAAGCAAACAGTAATAAATATTCTGAGAATTTACATTAAGACAGCAGTGAGCTTCCAGCACCAGGAGCTCAGCGGTAAGTTAATGACACTCCTTTTGCAGATGCATTCTGCTTTTCGGTCCTTAATCATAAAATAACCTGCTCTAACACCAGCAGGACCCCTGCTCTCCTTCACACGGTGTGGAACTGAACAGTGTCCACAACCAGCATCTGCCACTCAACTGAATTCCTTTAAGGTTCGAGATGAGCCGGGCAAACACCTGGGACTTGGATCAATCACCAGGAAGAGAGCGGGGGAAAAGAAGGAGCTTGACGTTAGGGGAGTTCTCAGGGAAAATTATGGTCCTTTGCTGCTACCCTGAAGGTCACCCTGCCCACTACCCCACGGACAGAGGTACCCATCACAAACTGAGAATGGGAGAAACAGCAAAACACCAGGGCAGGACTCTGCAGCTGGAAAAAGGCCCCTTTTCCCCACGTTTAACCCATGGGGTCTGTCCAGTCTCCTTGCATATGACACCCATGCAGTATAAATTATGGAGAATGCATTATTATTGTTGTTAACTGAGTCATCAAGTCTTGATTAAAATATAAATGGAGGAAATCTGAGTTCCATTCCCTTCCTGAGCTGCTGCCCAATTACATTAATAACCAAACATTCTTCCTCTGCAGCAGATACACAGATAATAGCAACAGTCAAGGAAAACAAAATATGGAGTGTTCTGCATTGTTGAGGTCTTTAAAAAAAAAAAAATATTATTCCCACATGCACACACACACGTGTAATTTTCCAGTTTGAAACCCAGAAATTAACAATAGAACCAGCGGTTAGAAACACCCCAGCATTATGTTATGGAGCCTATCAACCTCTCAGCTGCCACTGAACACAGGCATTAATTGCCTGCCTTGGACTGGAGCTACCCAAGAGACTTCAGAGAGAGAGAAAACATTCATTTTCTAAAATGAAACCTGTTACTGTAGAGAAGCAGCCTGATCTTTGGAGCTACAGGTCTGCAAACAGTCATCCTGCTGGAGAAGTAGTTAAACAAGGTTTCTAAATTCAAATTATTTTTTTGTTCTTACTTTCACAGGATAAAAGCCCGAGATTTTGGAATCGATAGTGAAATTCTGCTGTAAATCTTCCCTATTGTGTATCCATATAGATACACAAATACGAGACAAGACAGGATGAAGACAAACATAATTAATGCTTCTTTGCATTGGAATAATTAAGTTCAACTATTAGGTATGTAAAACAGCAGCTGAATCTTCCTGTGCTTATTTTAATTACCATTTCAGAAGCAACAAAATAAAACTCCCTAACTTAACAAGCCATACCCATACTGCAAGTACCTCTGGAGAAAACACACAGCCAAAACCAGCTGAGCATCATTTTAAAACTACTGATGTTTTTTAAACTCTGCTGTTTTGTTTTGGGTTTTTTTTCTGTATTTTGAATGCCTTACTATACACGAACATCTGACATGAACAAACTTAATTTGCAAGTTCAAGAATCAAGGTAACAAATCCATTAGGTCAAGCTGGGTGTAATATACTGGGCAGAATAGGCAATTATTAGTCTGATAGGAGCTTTTAGATAACAACATCTGAGTGCGAGATTTATCTAAACAGTGTTCAGATAGGAGATTTATTTGTAATTTCTTGGTTCATTTAGAAATTAACTCAAAGAAATAATGTTCATTCAGAAGGACTGTATTAGGAAAAGTGTTCAAACCACGAAGCGCTCAACTGTGGAAATGTTCACCTCATTCTCTTTATTAAAAACAAACAAAGCCTCCCAACAGTTGTTCATGAAAGGTTTAATTGTATTTGGGGGAAAATGAAACTTTGGAGCTCACACAGGTAAGATTTGCCCAGCAAGTCAAACAATGTGTTGCTTCGGGAGCTCCCTTTGCTAGACCTGAAGCATCACGGTCGGTGTTCTGGGATTCCTGGCTACTGCCTCGCTGGGAAGGTCTAACCTTTCTCTCCATCTGCCCTGATGAATCTGGCCAAGGGCTTCCACTTTCACAGCGAAGTGTAAATGAAAAGTGTGAGTCCTGCTCAGTTCCCTGCCTCGTTCACACCACGGTCCGTCAGCCCGGTCTGCCTG